TTGGCTTTTGATGGTTCTTGCCTGGTATGTTCCACGAGCCCTTGGCCTCATTTGGGTAGTCTTTTGGGGGTTGGCTGTGTGCCACCGTGCATCCGTTCGATGTACCAAATCTTTGTGGCCTCGACTGTTGGTCTTTGCTGCTGTGTGTCGCATTGGTGAAGCAAGTCATCCTGGCCCAACAAGTTCCAATTTTGTTCTGGGGATTTTTAATCCATCAGGTTTGCCGGGCAAAGCGCCCTACATTGTTTCACATTTGGCCCATGGGGATATTTGGGCCATTTCGGAGACCCACCTGTGTCAACAATCCATGGGTCAGTTCAAGTCCAGTTTGCATTTTGCACAAAGCCCGTTTCAATATTGTGTTGGAGGACACCCGGTCCCACCGCAAAAGAACAGAATGTTTCACTCTGCGTGGCGTGGTGTGGCAGTTCTCTCGAAACATCCCACACGTCAGGTCCCAACCTGCCTGCCTGCTGGAGTTCATGAGTCGTCCCGCACTGTGGTTACTACTACTTTGTTGCATGACACTTGGGTCACTGGGGCAACGGTGTATGGTGAACCTGAAAGCAGTAGTTACCCACACCAAAAGACCAACAATGAAGCTTTACTCCACAGTGTTGCAAATCATGTTTGTCACCTCGCCACTGGCCCACGGTTTGTGGGGGGGGACGGGATTGTTCCCTGCCACTCCCTGCCTGTGTTTTCACAACTTGAGGCTGCTGGATTCCAAGATCTGCAGGATATTGCCAACCGTATCATGCCCTGTGGGCTCACATTGAAGACCGTGCTGCCCTGCAGTTGCCCTTTCCGGTCCCGCTTCAGCAAAAAGGACGTGCCAGTACCAGATTCACCAAGCCAATTTTTCAGGGGAAGATCCCTCCTCCCAAAAAGGCTAGACCTGGAGAAGTGGCCCCCCAATTTGTTGGTGCATCTTTTCGGCATGCACAATGGTTGAGACAATCGCGGCGGTTGCAGTCATATGTTCGTCACGTTCAGAACAACTCATCAGAGAGCCTTCATGCCAAGCGACTGTGGGGGTCCATTGTGCGATCCAAAGGGTTTCACCCATCCTTTTCTGAATGGTGGAAACAATCAACCTTCCGTGCCCCTGGAGCCCCTCAGTGTATCCCCGTTGTGCCTCCTGAGAGGTTGGTTGCTCAATGCATTTTTGACTCCATGTGTGGTGCTTTGAGGGAGTTTGAAGGTGAACTGCAGGCGTCCTCACGCCTCTACTCCAAGCTGAAACGTGAAAGTAATCCAAATGCGATTTTTCAAGACCTTCGCTCTTTCCAGTCGAATGGTGTTGACATGCTGCTTAAACCCACGTTTGCACAGGTGGTGGAAGTTAGGCCGGACGATGTCTCAATTGTGCTTGATAAGCCTGTTGATTTTGATTCCACTCTCCCGATTGTTAGCCAAAACCGTGCCTTGCCAGTGATTCATACTGAGCATGATTGTGTGTGGCTAGAATCTGTGGATGGTCTTCAGCCTGGCAACACTGTTTCGCAAACTTCGCAAGTAGGTTCTGACCAAGCCTTGTCCCACGCCTTTTTGAGCACTTGGAAGGACATGTGGGAACGTCATAGTGATGTCCCACCGGCGAGGTGGAGCACAATCCTTGATTTTGCCAGGCAACACCTGCCGAAGCAACAACTTGGGTGGCCTGCTATTGATGAGGTTGAACTTTCGCATTGCATTTGCCATAAAAAGACAACCACTTCCGGGGGCTTAGATGGGGTAACTCTCATGGACTTGAAAGCACTGCCAACTGAGGCGCTGCACAATTTCATTTCCATGTGCACGCAGGCTGAAGCCACAGGAGATTGGCCAAGTCAGGTAGTGGCAGGGAGGGTGACATGCATCCCGAAAACCCCCCAACCTGAGAAAGTGCTTGATTTCCGACCCATTACGGTCCTGGGCCTTTTGTACAGGTGCTGGAGCACCCATCATGCCAGACATGCTATCCGTGAGTTAGATGACATCCTGCCGGTTGGTCTCTTTGGAAGTAGGCCCAGGCATTTTGCCGGTCAACTCTGGTCGCAAGTCCTTTGGGCCGTGGAGCAAGCATATGAAAGTGCCATCTCATTATGTGGCATCATTGTGGATTTGCAGAAAGCTTTCAATTTCCTCCCACGTGAAGTAATTTTTGAAAGTTGTGCACTGATCGGAATCCCGTTCACTGTATTAAAGGGGTGGGCTGGTGCACTTGCGCTCATGGCACGTAGGTTCATGTTGAATGGTAGCCTGACTTCACCTGCCTATAGCAACTGTGGCCTTCCGGAGGGCTGTGCACTTTCATGCCTTGGTATGATGGTTGTAGACATACTGTTTCACATGTGGATGACCAAGTTTTTTCCATTGTGTCAACCGCTTTCGTATGTGGACGACTGGCAGGTGCTTTTAACCAACCCTGACCACGTGTTGCCGACATTTCGGTGTTTGGAAGCATTCACTAAGGCCATGGACTTGCTGTTGGACCAAAGGAAAACTCACACCTGGTCAGTCTGCCCTAGGGGACGAAAGATCCTCAAAGCACAAGGCCTTGACCTTATTGCCCATAACAAGAACCTTGGTGCACATGTTCAGTTTAGCCGCCAGCATACTAACAGTGCCCTCATGGAGCGCATAACCAATGCCACCCCATTGTGGCAGAAACTTCGGTTGTCCGCCTGTGAATACGCTCAGAAGACACGTGCGCTTAAGAGTGCGGCATGGCCCAGATGTTTGCACGGCATTGCAGCTACAACTGTTAGTCATACCACGTTTGACACCCTGCGATCAGCGGCAATGAAAGGGCTCAGAGCAGATGGAGCAGGGGCCAACCCTATGGTCCATCTGGGCTTAGTTGAACATGTTTCACATGATCCACAATGTTGGGCCATACTGCAAACTTGCCGCTTCACCCGTGATTGTGGACACCAGGAGCGGGTTGAACAGGTCATGGCTGAGATTGTTCAGGGCTACTCTAGCATTCCAGGTAATAGTATCACACACACATTGTGCACCAGACTCCAGGCACTTGGGTGGCACATCGACATGTCTGGGCAAGTGCATGACTTGGTCGGATCCTTTTCCCTGTTTTGCATTTCTGCCACTGAACTTTTGTATCGAGTTGAGTTGCAATGGCCGAGATTGGTTGCGGCTGCCACTGAGCACAGACGATGTTTCCATGGTCTTGACCGGTGTAATCCGGCAGACACTCGCCGGTGGATGCGTCAGTTAGATGTCGCTGACCAAGCCCTTTTTCGAAAAGTGTTGAATGGCTCGCACATCACCCAAGACTGCAAAACCCACTGTGATGAAAGTGCAACCGACCTTTGCCCATACTGTCCCTGCAGTGATAGCAGATATCACAGGTTTTGGGAATGTGAACAGTTTGCCCCGCTGCGGTCGCATATTGATGCAGACACGTTGGCTTGTGTGAGGGATCTCCCTGATGCCCTGACAAGCTCGGGTTGGTCTCTTCAGCCTAGCACTGCTTGGGAGTGGGATTGCTATTTTGCTGGTTTAGCCCCCACCCCTATTCCTCAGTGTCTGTTTCATGGCGATATTCACATTTTCACTGATGGTAGTTGCCATGACCAACATGTGCCAGAGAAAAGATTTGCGGGATGGGCTGTTGTGGAAGCCTCTTGTGATGGTGTGCATGATTTTACTGGGAGTCGCATTCTGGACTCCGGTGTCCTGCCGGGCCTGCTCCAGAGCGCAGTCCGTGCTGAAATTTATGCTGTGTTGAGGGCCCTGGAACTCACCCAACATCATGATGGTAAGGTGTACCTTTGGACTGACTGCGATGCTGTTGTGAAGAAGGTACGTAGGATTCTTGCCGGAGGTCATTTTAATGTTAATAGCCTGCATGCTGATCTCTGGACCCAAATCCGCCGTTGCATTCATGGCAGACGGGGCCAAATCACCATCACTAGGGTTGCGTCTCACCAGAACATGGATGAGGCCACGAGCGTCTTTGCCGAGTGGTGTTTTCGCAATAATGGCCTTGCAGATAAACAAGCAGTGCGAGCTAATACTATGAGGAGTTCTGCCTTTTGGGACCTTTGGACGAGACACAGTGTTGCTTTGGATGGCATTACTGCACTTAACCGAGTGGTTCAAGCGTTGCTGCTCCGCATTAGCCAGGAAGTGGTGCGGCATGATGACCCTGCACCACCATTGACACCAGCTGCCCAACAGTGTGTGCCGTTTCAGAGGTGGAATCCTCTCCCGGTGCTTCAGATCCCGGAAGCTGCTGTGCGATGGTATGGCGACATGGTTGTCCGCATGGTGGCGAGCTGGTTTTGGCAGAATGTCTGGGCTAGTGAACACCCTTTGGTCTGGGTTTCCCACTTTCAGTTGTATGCCGACTACATGTTGTCATCGGGCCACCCTGGCCCAGTGCACATTGACAAATGGCGTGACGGGGCCACGGTCCCATTGCTGGAAGTGAGGGGATTTGCCTTTAAGCAGAGGACTCGTTGGTTCACCAAGGTGCTGAAAGAGGTTTTGCGCCATCAAGGTATCACCCTGCAGATGTCTTACGGCAGACCGCACTCCCAAATGCTGCTGCTCCACACTGGAATGATTGCGCTCCCATGGTGCAAACAGAGGTTGGAACAAGTGGACGCTTGGATGCTGCGGTGTGCGGGTGGAACGTTCCGGCGCAACTCGCAGACTTTGGATGGCCTTCCCTTTGCGGAGCACTCAGGCCTGTTTTCACCCTTGGTTTTGACCACGGTTGGTCTCTAACGTACCCAAGACGGGTCACGTTCACATTGACGTGGCGCGCGCATTAAACTGGGAATAAACTGGTGGTTTGGAACATGAATTCTATGACTTTCCGTATATTGGGAATTTCATAATCCCAACTGACTAACTCATATGTTTCAGAGGGGTAGGTATACCACCAACCAATATTATTCTTCGTGATTCGGAAGAATGACATCATCTAACTTTTTGGCTTTCAGAACTGGTGACCCGGCCAGCTTTTTCAAGCCTTCTTCGCCGAGGTGAAAACCCACCTTATTCGTACTACTCCTTCTACATCTATGTGAATCTATGCAGGTGCCCGAAGGGCCTTTCAGGGCCATGGGTGATGATCCAACGGTGATGCGACCAATGGAGATCCCCGAAAAAACGGTCAACGTTTACAGTTTGCGAACTGGGGTTTACCATAGGAAAATGGAGGTTTTAATGGGAAAACCATAGGAAAACCATAAACAATGGAGGTTTACCCTCTGGTAAACATACAAAAACTATGGAAAGTCACCATTTTAAAGGGGCAAATCAACTATTTCTATGGCAATGTTCAATAGCGAACTGTGAAATCGCCAGAGGCTATGTGGCAGGATCTAATATCAGACCATATCAGAACTAACTGTAATGAAACTGCCAATTCTTGAATCCTGAACGGAAGACTAGTTGAAGCGGGGTTTCCGAGTGGCCAATGCCCAAAACACCAGTGTTTTGAAGCTGGTTATGATTGTTTTTCTTACATGATGTCTCTCCGACTCTCTAACTTTTACTAACTGGAGATCTTGACAAAAACAGAGGTCGAATTGAAGATCTCTCAAACATATCCCATTGTTTGTACCCAGGACTCAAAGAGTTCCGGCAACTTTTACTAATCCCTTCCCCCTAATATTAAACACCCCCTCATTAGAAACCATGGTTGGGGAATTTCCACATAATTGGGACCATCGAATGAGGGTGTTTTCCATATTACTTGGTGGTTCATCCTAGTATGCATGTTATATCCCCGGTAATTTAACAGATTGCTATTGAACATGTCCATAGAAATAGTTGATTTATCATTAAAAACGTTGATTTCCCAATATTTTCCATAGTTATGTTAGTTTACCAGAGGGTAAATCCCTGGGTCCCTGGTTATACGTCATGTTACACCATTCATACTGTAGGATACATCTTTGTCCCTAACGACGCAGTGCACATCCGCGGACTTTCCGCCAGGTTCAACCACCTCTGCAAGATGCTGGGGCGTCCCTGGCACCTCACGTTTCGCCCACACGCAGGGGAGGCAGCCAGCAGTTAGATGACGTTAGATGGGCCATGGGAGTGAAACATGGTGAGTAATTGGCAACAAAAACATACAAAAACGACTAAATATTGGACGAAATTATATGAAACATTATGAAACCATCATTAGATTATGAAGTGTTACACATCTGTGAATTACATGTACCTATATTTATCATGAACCTATAATTATATATATATATTACACCAGTGAACTAATATGAACTAGTCCTGCCCATCGAAGTAGCACGGAGAAATTGTCGCAATTGGTTATGCTGTATGGGTCCCATGTCATAATCATTGGACCCCCAAAATTTATATTTGGTTGAGTCCTGTTACTGGAAATGATCAGCCACTTGTTTTGCCGGCACCCAAATGACTCCATTCAAATTTTAATTGGTTGATATTGGTTGCTTAATTATTTATCGTGTAATAAGTATTAATAAGTTATAAATATTATATATACTGCTTGGTGCTTTGGAACCATGGAATTTTATGACTTTCCATTCAGTTGGGAATTGAATAATCGTCCCAACTGACGAAGTCCATCATTTTTCAGAGGGGTAGGTATACCACCAACCAGTATATAGATATTTATATATATATATATATCCCATCATGTAACCATATATAACCACCATATAATTGGTATTATACCACTATTATTATATATCAGCCATCTATTTTATGTTTTTTTTTCATATACATAGTATATACCATCATGGGGATAGAACCTGATATGATGGGATCATAGGTGAAATCATTTCTTGAAATACCCGGCCTGGTAAACGAACGTTTTAACATAACGAACTGGAAAATCATCATCATGCTATGAAAATGGGAAAAGTCACTATTTCGACTGGGCCATGTTCCAGTTCGCTTTTTCTATGTTTACCAGGCCGGGTAAACCTCCATTTTCCTATAGTTTTCCTATGGTTTTCCCATTAAAACCCTCCATTTTCATCTAGAAATGCTCCATGTTCCCATCTTTTTCGCAACCTGCAGGATGGTGCCCCCCAGTTATAAGTTGGTTTATAAATCTCATTAACTATAGTTATATCTGCCATAAACCATAGTTATGGGAGTTATAAACCAACTTAGCTAACGAACTGGGGCACCACCTTGTGCGGTTCACCAAAAAATCATCAAAAAATCATCCACAAATCCGCCACATTTTTTCAGGCCGGAGAGGTCCACCATCTCGCGACCACCTTCCTCTTGGCCGAGGGTCTTTGGGTGCCGTTTTTTTTTTTTTTGTATGGGGGTGAGGTCTGGGCCAATGAAAGTTATGGGATGATTATTGGGATTTAATGGGATTTTAATGGGATTTTAATGGGATTTTAATGGGATTTAATGGGATTTAATGAGATTTAATGGGATTTAATGAGATTTAATGAGATTTAATGGGATTTTAATGGGAATTTGATGGACATGTAAAGGGATTTTCATGGGATTTGATGGGAATGAGAATAGGACCTGCCTGAACCAGCCCCATCGGACCTGAGGTTTTTCAACGGAAAGCCTGGATTCGTAGGAACCATCGGGGGTGCGGGGTGCACCATGAAACTATAACATGCTAGAACTATAACTATTGATTGTCGTGAAACTGATTCTATAACTACAACTATAACTATAACTATTCATCACTGAAACTCAGTGAAACTACAACGATTGATTCCGATAGGCCAATAGATCTGAGTGCACTCAATTTGGGCAACCGATTCAAAGCCCCTGAGATGTTGTCGCGCCCATTGACAGCGCCAAGGTATCAACCATGGGGTGAACCTCCAACACAGTCCAGTGCTGCAGTGACCTACCCCCGCCAGGTCATCATGGGCCTGAAAATAGGGTCGATGGAACCATGGATGTTTGATCTCCATAAAGATGCTCCACTTTGGAGAAAAATATGGATATAAACCATGACTGGTTGGTGGTGACTGGAACCATGGAATGGATTATGACTTTCCATTCAGTTGGGAATTTCATCATCCCAACTGACGAAGTCCATCATTTTTCAGAGGGGTAGGTATACCACCAACCAGATATAGATATATATCCCATCATATAACCATATATAACCACTATTATTGGTATTACAACCACTATTATTATATAATCCCAGCTGAAACCATGAGTTTTTTTGGGATACCAAGCCAGATATGATGCTGACCCCAAAGATCGCTTCAGTTGTCTTCCATCACAAAGAGGGCCGGCAGATCACCGGTGAAGCAATGCATCTCTTGGTGGTCAATTCTGGTGTTCCAAAACGTTGGTAATGTTTGTTCTTATACTGCGTAATCAGATTTTAGTTACAGTATATAAATCTATTATATATGTATAAATTTAATTAGTAAGTGGATTATTAACCCCCGGTGATCATGGTTCGTAGGAGCAATGTCCAGTTCTTCTTCATGCGGGTGAAATTTCAATGTAACAACCTTAGGACATCATTAAATCCCATTGAATCAATGGGAGATCTCCAGGATCCTAAAATGGAGGTACGTTAGTACCATTTTTCAGGCCACATTTTGTGGGGATGGTACCTCCAATCTAGGATCCTGAAATGGCCATTGATTGTGAAAAAAACTATATTAAATCAATTAAATCCCATATCAAGATAAAATCCCATTGAAACTGATTAGATCATTAGATCCCATCACAACTCCCCATATTTTCCCACCATAGCTTCGCTATCTACATCTACCGTGCCCAGTTCACCGTGTTGTGCGGTGCCACGTGCCACGTGCCACGCCAGGTACCTGTACTTCCTCACGCAGATTGGCATTTCGGTGTCGCCCTTGTCTAACAATGCCCTTTTCCTGAAGGCTGGGCCACATCTGGGGCTGGACATGGCTGGTCGAAAATCTAACATCAAAAAGATGTCCGGTTTCTAGATGATATAACCCATAGGATCCATGTATGCTATATAATTATGGTATATTATGGTAACATTTACCATCAATATGCCCCAAATGTTAGCATATATACCATACATGGATCCTATGGGTAATTACTTCTGATATACTTCCGATATACTTCTGATAAATCGTTTTTTCAATCTATGAACATCTCCTGTTTCTTGGTATACAACATGATTCTTGTCATGGCAGGTCACAGATAGTCATGGCATCCTCTGTGACTGGACAGGACCATCCTTGGATGAAAGAACGTTGGAAAAGGTGCAACAAAATGACCATATGACCCTGGCAGTGTTTTTCCAGTGTAACCCATGGAGTTCTGGAAAAGGTGCAGAAATTCTGAGTCAGATTGCTCGAACATCAGGGAGACTTGGAAGCATCATGCTTGGCAGTGGGGAGCTTGCATCAAGTCACATCAAGTCACAGTCGATTTGTGGATTTACTGTAACATGATTTATTTTTTTGAGGCTACAGCCATCTCAAATCGCAGTGTTCCGTCAGACCATAGAGCTAAAAACCCTCTGGTTATAAAAAAACAATATTTAACAGTTAGCCATGTTTCAAGATCCACCCATTTTTCAGAACGGTAAACCATCTATAAATGAACCATATAGGGTACATTTCACCATTTATTAATAGGGTACATTGTGTTTTTGGCCGACGTGCCGATGTGGCTTGGCCGATGGTGAAGCCATCACATCTCTCAGGCAAAAATCACAAAAAAAATCTCTACTTAAAAGAAACACGACTTGCCCGGCCTGGTAAACAACTAACATAACTATGGAAAGATCCACCATGAACAATCAGCATTGTTTTTCTGAAGGCTCATTTCAAAAATGGTGAATTCCCTATAAAAATCACCATGGAAAATCACTATTACCAGAGGCTAACCTGAGATCAACATCACCCGGATTTGGTTCACCGTTGACCGGCTGCGCCAGATGAGCAAGAACCCCTTTCCCGAGTTCTTCCAGCGCGGTCTCAACGTGGGGGCACCATGGGACACCCGGAGGTAGGACTGGAACTGAGGTAGGAACCGAGGCAAGGGTCGAACATCAGAATGATAGGGACAGTTTACTGCTGGTTGGTGGTTTGGAACATGAGTTTTATGACTTTCCATAATAGATGGGAATGTCATAATCCCATTTGACGAACTCTCATATTTTTCAAGATGGTTAAAACCACCAGACTGTAGTGATATGTAGTGATACTGTAATGCCCATTCATCATTGTTTCAAGCGACAAAATCGACAAACATGTTAGACAGTTCTGCATGAGGGATTCAGTATGATTCAGTTCCCCAAAATAGGATAGGAATAGCAATCTTAGCAGCAAAAAATATGGTGTTTTCTGGCTATACTGATGTGGGCAAGCAGCAAAATATCTTCGAGCTTGGGGATGTTTTTTCATCCCCAAATTGATCTATTTACCATAGGAAAATGGAGGTTTTATAGGAAAACCATAGGAACACCATAGGATAATGGAGGTTTACCATCTGGTTATGACTAACATAGCCATGGAACATCACCATGCTATTAAGAACGGTAAACCATCTATTTCGATTAGGGCCATCTATACCATGGCGAACTGTTAAAGAACCAGGTTGGGTAAGGCATCCAAGAGCGTTTCTACTCCGAGAGTTGGTCGTGACTCCCTGTGATTTCATGGCGACGACAAGGGCCATTTTGAGAACAGACTGGATTAGTCAGACTGAACTACCCAGGTGTTAGTTATATATATACATATAGTAATACAGTATTATATATAGTCATATAGTTATATAATGTTGCTGGCGCCGTGCCTCGCGGCCTGTGTGTGAAAGCTCATTTTTCGTTTTTTGTCTTGGTTGAGGTGGGGTGGGGTGGGGTGGGGCATGTTAACGTTCGCTTGCACTTGCGTCATGACGTTGATGCTTCGTGACGGATGGGGTGGGGTGGGGTGGGGCATGTTAACGTAAATCCAAAGAATATATTTTAAATCCAAAAGAACCTACCTTTATGATATATATATATGTTTATATATATATATATTTGTTTCGATCTCAAAAAATTGGCATATATTTTTTGAAATATGTATATATATATAATGATTACGACGTCGACGACGACGACGACGGCGACGACGACGACGACGACGATGATGATGATGCTGATCATGCCTGCGGCCCACAGGCCGCTATCCACGGCGTGACCATAATTATATATATATATATATACAACTAATTATCCCAATTATATCCCATTATATAATTCTCATCATATCTTCAGATATTGGGTAGATCAATCTATGTTTGGTCGCTGTTATTTTTCCCAGGTGACCTTGAGCACGGATGATCCGCTCATGTTCCACACCACCAAGGAGCACAATTTCGGAGCCTCAGAAATTGAGGGCACTTCCGGAAGATCACACATGTATTTATATACATGTATGATCATGTATATGTATATATATATATATATGTACTATGTGTGTATATATAATTATCACATGTATTTTTTTTCCCGGGAAACAGTTTGATAAATTTGGATGGATACCCTCTGGTAAACTAAGATATAGCTATGGACAATTACAGTTTTAAGCAGGAAAATCATCTATAAACGGACCATTTTCCATAGCAAACTGTTCGTTTACTGGATGGATACAGTTTGAGACTTTGATATACTTTGATCATCCTTGATCTTGGGTCATAGGTGGGATATTAACCATCAACGCGATGGTTTACCACTAGGGGTTTGGTGGGGATTTTCCGAAGGGGTTCCCCTCTGAAAACCGGAATTCTCGGGAGATATCCATCCACTAATTGATCTATCCACGTTAATCACAATGATTCTCCCCCCTTTTTTTGGGTAAACTAACCTACCCCCAATATTTCCAATAGGGTGAAGGGTTGTGCCAGAATTGGAAAACGGAACATTTACACAGGAAAACGCAGGAAAACGGGATGACAAGGCTTGATTTTCCGTGAACATTTGCGACTGACACCAACCCACTGAAGATCATGGAAGCATCTTTTCGTTGATGCATGCATATATGATATATGATATAATATAATACATATATGTATATATATATATATATGTATTGTACATAATTATGTGTATATATCTAGTATATTTTCCAAACATTTCCCAAATCTTATGGGTTATGTTACCCTCTGGTAAACTAACATAGCTATTGAAAATCACTATCTTTAATAGGTAAATCAACTATAAATGGGCCATTTTCAATAGCTATGTTAGTTTACCAGAGGGTATATCATGTTATATCCTCATTTTATCGAGGATTTCCCCCCAGCCACGTGGGGTTTTCTTGGTCGGCAGGAGCCCCTGCTTGAAGAGTACACGACGGCCCGCGCCATCTATGGCCTTTCAGGGACGGACCGCCACGTGGCGCTGGTGGTGACTGGAACATTGGTGAAATGTATGGGATACAGTAATGGTTAATGATGGTGAACAATGGTTAATAACCTCTGATTGGTGGTGACTGGAACATTTTTTTTATGACTTTCCATATAATGCCAACACCGGATTAATAACCCCCCCCAGAAGGTCAGAACTCTACCTTGTGGAGCCCCCCTTAAGCCACCCTTAATAATAAGCACCTCTGAACCATAAAATTTTGGATATGGCTTGAGTCAATTAGATCATCATAGAATTCCATTGGATTTGATAAGATTTGGATTGTAAAACCTCATGGAACCCATAAGATTCCCATTGGATTTGATAAGATTTGAGTCTTAAAATCTCATGAATCCCATCGTCTACAGCCATTGGGTGATGATTTTTATACAGAATTTTGGTTAAAAAAAAGATTTCAGCAAAGGGGGTTGATTAATCATGTCCTAGCCAAACGTTTTCTTAAATTGTATTTTTTTTTGGGGAGGAGGAGGTTGATTAATAACGGGGTATTGATTAATCCTGACTTGACATTATTGGGAATAGTATTCCCAACTGACTAATATTTTTCAGAGGGGTTGAAACCACCAACCAGCAACTATATTCAACTATAAATCCCAATTTTTTGTGGTTAACATATATTAAATTGACTACTGTAAGTTGGTAAACATAAGCCTAACAACTGGATATAGACTATAGATATTGAACTGCTCACTTGTAACTGCACCACCAAGTGGGATAACCAGAAAATTATCTGCAAAAGCCATGGTTATGATAAATCGTGATGATAAACCATGAAAATTATCTTACGGGGAAAAATGTGGCACATTTTATGTTATCTTATGTTTATTTTTGTTGGCACACTTTATTGGACAAGCCACCTAAATCTCATGGTTTATCATCATTTATCCATCTTTAAACAGGGCCACAAGTGGGAGGTATACGAAACATTTTCGAAGATGTTTGGACAGACCCTTAAATGGAAGGACAAGCGAGCAAATCCCTGAACTCGTTCCAGGATTCCAGATGGGGATGGGTCAAAATCTATTCTATATTATTATTATATATATAGCATATTTGGATATATTTGTGTGAATAACCATCTGGAATAAAATTGGGTGTGAATATCTTATATTATAGGATATTTTTCTATATATTATATATGTGTGTGGGTAACCATCCAGCTGTTCGATAGCTATGACTTAACTAGGGTACCATAAAAGGCACCTCCTTTTAGGTGATTTTAAGGTCACCAAGACCGTTGTGGTTCCCAGCGGAAGTATTTTTTTTTTGTTGGTATATCCCATACAATGTCCCCATAACATGTCATATCAGACATTGTATCCCCATTCTCACTCAATTTATGAGGATCAATCTCCCTATGTCAATGATTTTCATGGGTCCATGTTACCTGCAACTTACGTACGCCCTAGTGGCTAGAGACAGGACATGTGCGAGATAGCTGGAAACAGCGTGCGGCAAAGCTCTTTCGCACCCAGAGGCCACCCTGATTTGTTTTTTTCCCCTGAGAGGGATCATTCATATTAATGTGGTTAAAACAATGTCATAAACATGGATGGTTTACTGTTTGGGGGTGGTTTATATAAATAACTATTAAAATGGCATAAACCATTAAATAAACATGTAATAAACCATCCATTTGGGAGCATCCATTAGGGGAATGGTTTATCACATTGTTAATTTTCGCCTATTTTGCAATGGTGATGACTGGGGGATGGTTTATGGCTCTGTTTTAATCATCTATTATTTTGCCTCTGGTTATTTGACGCAGCGAACTGGAGAATCACAGGTAAATCATCAAAAAACATCTATGAATGGGCCATTCTCCATGACTCTGTTAAACAACCAGAGGGTAAATATTTGAGCGACCAAAACCCCTGTTGCTTGACTATAATAGGGGTTTCTATTGGGTAGCTTATCGGTGTCGTGATCCTTGGGGATAGATAATTCTGAATCATCCCCAGATGGCCGTATGACGCTGTATGATAAGAACATATAAGAACTATTTTCAAGTGAGTGAATTATAATCATTCAGCCAGATTGATCAAAAAAATACGTGGGTCTATGGGTGGCTGATTTTTAGCAAGAGATTCAAGAGATATTTCAAGAATATGGTTATCTGAACATACATATACATACTTATATGTTTTGTTTCTTTAACTATAACCATCATAGATCATATTGTTGTCAACCCAATCATCAACAGTTGATTTAGCCATTAGAATCATTAGAATGATTTTCCATGTCAAAGTGTTAGTTTACCAACTATATACATAGCATATCATATATTATCATCCTCTTCTGCGTGCCCATTCTCAGGCCATCCTGCAGCGGGGTCTCGAGTCTTGGGCACTTCAAGGTGCAGCGAGTGAGTCGTGGTTTTATTGGAATAGCCTCTGGTAAACGAACACTTTGCCATGGAAATCATTCTAATGATTCTAATGGCTAAATCAACTGTTGATGATTGGGTTGACAACAATATGATCTATGATGGTTATATTATAAATAATCTATTGTCTATGTTTTTTTTGGAAGAATGTGGGTAAAACAATGCCATAGCCATTGCCCAAATCACCATTTTTATAGGTGGTATAAACTTACCATTCCCAGTCATGGATGGTTTATGACATTGTTTTAACCACATTAGTGACTAAATAATGGGATAATTCCTCCATTTATAGTGTATTTTCCCATATTTTCCTATGATTAATCCCATCACCCTACGTAGGGTGGCAAAAATCCCATGAATCGTAGGTTAGTTCAGCCCAATTTTACGTAAGCGGATTCACCTGTCACGACTGTCCCACTGAAATCACCAAGGATATAACATGCTTACTACCCTCTGGTAAACTAACATAGCTATTGAAAATGGCCATAGAAATAGTGAGTTTTCCCATTAAAAATGGTGATTTTCCATAGTTATGCCTGTTTACCAGAGGGTAAGTGGGATGAACCACCAAGTAATATGGAAAACACCCCCTAAATGGTCCCCAAAAACATGTGAAATTTCGCTCCTAAACTCCATGGTTTCTAAAGGGGTGTTTAGTATTAAGAGGAAGGGATTAAAAGAATATTGTTAGTAAACCACCCCCCATTTTAAAGAAGAATCTTAGTAAAGCAATAGTGTTTACCATCCACAAATTTACTATGTTTATGGGTAGGATTCAACAATCAATTCATATGGTGGTTTATTATTGCTTTACCATCAAGAAGTTTTATGGGAAGCAGCGGCCCCGCAAGATTTGTGGATTGTATTCTGTTACCCGTAAATACTCTTGATTGTTTGTTTTGTCTGATTTACTGTATGCTTCTCTTTTGGTTCGTGTTCGAATTTCGACGATTTCTCCTTGACTATTACTAAATCTCATTGCCATTTCTGCCTCAAAATTGATATGAGGAGCTACAGTAAGTGAAAATCAGCTTGAGATAGTTTGCGCAAGCGATCTTTCTTTTGGTCTTCAGCTGATGTTTTGGTCTAGTCCGGTCTAGTATAGACCCTATCATTTTCTGCGGGCAACCTTCTGACAATCAAACATGGCAACGGAAGTCAACAGAACATGGTAAATAATTAATCCATTTGTATGGATGCTTTTCAATCAATTGGATTTTCTGGTTATTCTTAAACGCTTAAACATGCAAACATAGCAACCTGACAACGGGTTTGAGAAACCCAAAGTTTAGAACATCAGTTTTCCCCATGATTTTTTTTGGTTGGACAATATCCTTGATTCTCTGGTGAAAAGCTTAAATGTTCGTGCTTAGATATCCCTGTTTTCGAGGATTAAGTCAACTAAGTCCCAATGAGAATTGATGGTCTATAGTTGATACATATATACCCATGACGGATCCATGGTGCTGGTATATTAATGCTAACATGACTGGGGTATATTGATGGGATCCATGGCACACCATATATAGCAGCACCATGGATCCGTCATGGGTATACATATATACATATTATAGTATTAGTGGTATATGTATATGTATATATATATGTATATTGTGAATGAACAAATGATCCCAGTCATGTTCTTGCTTTCTTGTCACATGTGCACAGCCTTTCATACATGTTCCATGAGGGTCCAACTCCAGACGTGGAAATCCTCAGCCGCTTTGGCTGACTGGCAGCTCGTGGTGGGAGGGCTGAGGAAGCGCTTGAAGCCATAGGATTGAGGCCAATCCTTTCTGGTTTGCTGAGGACAGCATTTATCGGTGGCATCAGTGCCTTTGGTTCTCCTGCTTTGGAAGCCTAGCAACATTTACCATCTTGGCTGCTTGTGAAAAAGATCTCGAGCGTTTTGGAGGTGGTGAAGGGGAATTTCTACCAGTGTGGAGCGATTCACACTGGTAGCGGAGCTGCCTAATAAAGCTCCAGGGGACCCTTGATAACATCAGGTGGTTTTTCTGAATGTCTGAGGAGACTGCAACAGCAGCTTCAACCGATGGGAACACTGCTTCATCGAATCACATGGCCACACCGGTGCCAACATTCGATCCGTCAAAGGATGACTTAGAACAGTATACGCAAAAGGTAGAACTGCTTTGTGAGATTTGGCCTGCAACAAAAATCAATGAGTTGATTACTCGCCTCATCTTGAACACAAGTGGAACTGCTTTTCAGAAACTTCAGCTGAACAATCCCCGGTGGATGATGACAAATGACAAGAAAGGAGTGCAACTACTGGTCCAGCTCCTTGGCGGCCAGTGGGGAAAAGTCAATTTGGAGAAAAAGTATGACATCGTGGAGAGAGCACTTTTCCGTTGCCTTCAGAAACAAGATGAATCCAACGATTCTTTCCTAGCCCGTTGTGACGTTGTTTGGTCTGAACTTCTAGCCAAGAAGGTGCAGTTGGAAGAAATCCAATCGTACATAGTCCTCAGAGGGTCTCGTTTGAGCACAGAGGATAAGAAACGTGTCATTGTTGAGAGTGAATCATCGTCAAGTGGAGTTTTGAACATGGAGAAGGTCACGCAATCTGTTCGCATGCTTGGTACTTCATTTTTCAATGAGATGATCGGTCAAAAGGCCTCCAAGGGCAAGATTTATGAATCCCAAGTGATGCTAACTGAAGATCAAGATGACTTTCAACATGATGAGTCTGCAGACGTAGCTGATGAATATACCGAGGATGAGTTTGTAGGTCAGTTACTGCAAGATGATGATGAAGATGCAGCCTTGATTGCCGATTATGAATCGAGGGCCGCAGATGTGCTGCAAGGAGACAATGACCTTGCTGCCACATACAACGCATACGCAGATGCCAGGAGAAGACTCTCCGACCGTTTCAAGCATAGAGGATTTTGGCCAGTAGGTCAAGGCAAAGGTTCAGGCAAATCGTCCGCATCAAAGGGCAAAGGGAAGTATTTCAACAAGGTTTCCAAGAAAAGTCTTCAACAGAGGATCCTTGAAAGCCATTGTAGATTGTGTGGTAGGAAGGGTCATTGGCGTGCGGAGTGTCCCGACCGGACACGTTCGAATGCATCAACTGGTTCCACGAATACATCAGCAGCCATGACCGTTTCAGCAGTGTCCCAGTCCATGGAAGAGTCCAATGCGCTTCCAATGGAGTTCATGCAGCTTCCGATGGTGCATGAGGAAACCCTAGATGTTCCTAGTTGGCAAGAAATTCATGTTGTTGTTTCATCCATGGAGGAAATTCGGGATAGACTCCGTAAGTTGGGTAAACGGGGTAAAGGGGAAGATAATCAAAACCCGAATGAAAGCCTGCCCAGGAATGAACGAATCACAGAGCAACCTGAGAGCCGTTTTGTGGCATCCGTGAGAGAGCAGCCAGCAGTAGCATATTTTTCCACGTATGGCACTTGTGGCATACTTGACACAGGTGCGTCGAAGTCAGTGATGGGTAGCAAATTGCTACCTGCCTTACTTGAGGGCCTTCCAGTTGAGATGAGACAGCAGGTGTTCAGGACATCATGTGACATCACCTTCAGATTCGGAAATCAAGGTACCTTGGATAGCCAACATGCCTTAGTTATCCCCTTAAAATCTGTAGGTCTGGGTCTCAAGATTGCAATCGTGCCTGGCGAAACACCGCTGCTGCTGTCCAACACACTCCTGAGGACTCTCAAAGCCAGTTTGAACAGCGAGCATCACATGTTGTCCAGTCCTTTGTTGAACCAGGTTGTCAAACTTAAGCTGAGTCCCAGAGGACTCTACATGCTTGATCTGATAGATTTGCTTCGTGCCCAGAAGGATTTGCAAGGACCTCGTGATGCAACAATGGCCGAAACTTTCATGAGCAGTGATTTTTCCAGCGAAAACCAGCAAGCTGAAACGTGTCAGCCAAGCCTCAGTGAAAGTCAAGGTAACAGTTTGAAGTCACTTTCAACACCAACAGGCCCAGGTACACAGGGACATGTTCACATGACCAGCCGAAGCCAGGGCAGGGAGTGTAGTTTCGAATGTACAGAGATCTCCCGGCCCAAGCCACCATCAACCGAGTTTCTCCACCTTGTTGCAAAGGTAAATAACTGTGATAACCATGAGCCAACATCGTATCACCTTTGGTCGCACTCACGTCGGGAAAACATTTGCAGAGGTGTGGGATCAGGAGAAGTCATGGATGAAATGGTTCGCCAAGACTCACGCCAGCAGCACCAAGCCCGAGCACCTGAAAGTACTGGCTTATCAGGAAAAGGTGTTGGATTAGTACGAGGAGAGCCATGGCATGGTGCCTCTGAAGAATCCCGAAGATCTGCAAGGGGTGATGTTGCCTCGATCCAAATGCATGCCCAAGAGCAAGGCCATGCCGGCACATCAAGTGCCTGGGGAGGTGATCCAGGAGATTGTGGATCCCAGCGACCCGTGGGATGTCATGGACTACACAGCACTGCAACAGGACCAGACCAACGAGATGATCGAGGCACTCCAAGCTCGAGTACTGAACATGGAAGGTGCCATCAGCGAGATCTTAGGACATCTCCGTCAGGGGAAGTGAATCATGCTCTTTGGATGTTGTGCCAGGCTGGTGACATTGATGCCGAATTTGAAAATCACCCAACTGCAGAAGCCCATTTCAGTACAAACACACCAAATCACTTACACTACAAATTCCATAAACTTGTTCAACAGTTTACCAGCGAATTGAAGTCAATTTCACAATCATGTTTACAGAAAGGCACACCAATTCAAGTCTTGGAAGTCTTTTGTGGACCTCAGAGTGAGCTCACCAAGCAAGTCAATAACTTGGGGTATAAAGGGGTTAGGCATGGTTTTCAAGAGGGTGACCTTGCAACTGAATCCGGCCGAGCCGTTCTTTTTACCAAGTTAATTGAGGGGCAACCTCGAAGTCTCTGGTATAGCCCTACATGTAGTCCTTGGTGTGCCTGGAGCGCAAT